CTTAATGGAGGAAGAGGTAGCAAAAGTGGTGGGTCGTTAGCAGAGGGGACACTAGGTTTAGAGTGGAGAAGGTCCAAGCTCTGGTGTGTGACTGGAAGATGGAGACAACGTTGGAGTTCTCACGGTGTTGGTCGTGGTGTGGTGCAGAGCTAATCTATAGAACTTTATGTTTAGAATTTTAGGTGTAGGTTTAATTCTTTTAGGTTTATATTGGTTTCGTTTGATTACCGGTCATAAATATGTAGCCATTTTCGATTATATATAAAAAATATAATATTTTATTTGTATTTTTATTTGTATTTTTATTATTTTTTTATTTTTTAATAATTCTATAATAGCAATTATTATTTGCTATTATAAATTATACAATTGCACAACTAATAAAATGCTATCAAACTAATAATTTAACAGAGCATATACAAAACGCAATGTAAAATACCCGAGAAAAGATTGCGGGGGCAGACACAGCGTTCACCATAACGCTATGCTATCCTATAATAGCGTTTTTCGCATGCTATATATGTGACATTTTCTTGTAGTGATTGGCCATTATCGATCAACGAGAAGGTGAAGGAGGCTTTTAAAGAAAAAGCCAAGACTCGTCTTTGCAACACCGTCTCAGATTGGAAGGATAAATGAGAACTCTACGGTTATGAAGGGAAGCCTAAGGAGATCTCCAACTTTGTATGGAATGGTCTCATCCGCTATTGGAGCCTCCCTGCCTCCATCAAAAAGTCCAACTCCTGCTCTTCTTCCCGAAGAACGAAGGATAAGTACGGCAATGACCCCATGCTTCATAGAACCGGCCAAAAGCCGCATGCTGGGATTCGTCTAGATGNATGAAGGGAAGCCTAAGGAGATCTCCAACTTTGTATGGAATGGTCTCATCCGCTATTGGAGCCTCCCTGCCTCCATCAAAAAGTCCAACTCCTGCTCTTCTTCCCGAAGAACGAAGGATAAGTACGGCAATGACCCCATGCTTCATAGAACCGGCCAAAAGCCGCATGCTGGGATTCGTCTAGATGTTGTAAGTTTTATTTTTAATATTTTTTTATTATTTGCTAATTAAGTAATTAAAAATATTAACTCTTTTATTTTTTTTCTAGGCCGAGAAGACCGGAGTCATGCCATCTCTGACTGAGCTATTCAGGATGACTCACGCCACACCAGAGGGAGTTTTTGTGGATCCACGTTCCGAGAGACTCTACAACGATGTGGTTTCTCGGGTTGAGGAGCGGTAGACACAACTAACCCAGCAGGCTCCCGATGGGTCACCCGTCACATTGACTACAGAAGAAGTCGATCGGATTTTCGAAGAGGTAAAATATTTGAATAAATTTTAATTTGTTTATATTAATTCGATTTTATTAATTATTATTTCAATATTAATGAACCTTTTTTTGAAACAAGGTGGCTCCTAGAAAGAAGGGACGGACGGTGGGAATAGGCTCCATTAACGAAGTTCCAAGGGCAACTTCTTCGTACACTTCGCACCGGGATGAGGAAACTTCTCAGCTACGGTCTCAGGTGCAGTCCCAGCAGGTGCGTTTGGACTCACTTGAGGATTTGTTGGACATCGTGGCCATCGATAACCCGGTTATGCAGAGAGCACTAAATGCAAGACGAGCGGCTCTCGGAATGGAGCAGCATCCTCCTGAGTCAACCGGTCGACCCGGCCCGGAACTCAGCCGCCCCGACGAGTACCTCCGCACCAACATGCCGTAGTTTTATTTTATTTTATTTTATTTTGTATTATAAATTTATATATTATTTATGACTTTTTTAATATAATGTTTTTTAAACAATTTTAATTTTAAAAATTTTTGGTTTTATATTTTTAAATTACAAAATTTATAAATAAAAATATATAAAACTTTTTTTAAATTACAAATTATATATAAACAGTCCAAGTAATTTCGTTGTAAACATTACAACGACTTAACATCGAATTACAAGTAAGTTCGTTGTAATTTTTACTACGACTTTACATGTTCAACTAGTAATGTACTCGTAAATTTACATCGACTTAACATCGAATGATTACGTGGTAATTACGTCGAATGAAACGTGGACTTTACGTCGCTGGTTAACGTGGATCTTATGACGAAATATTCTACTTCTCCTTTACAACGACACCTGTTCCTCGTAACGTTACGTGGTCGTTATGACGAAATGTGCATTACGACGGGCGATTAACAACAAAACGCGTTTCGTAGTTAATTCGTTGTAAATGATCTATTACCACGAATTAACCACGGATATAGCCCTAGTAAAATATTTGTTTTCTTGTAGTGACACACGCCTACCGTATACATATCATCATTTCTATAAATTTGAACACTTTGTATGTAACGATTTAAAGAGACAAAAACACACCTCCTGACTCCCAATATAACATTTCACGGCTAATGGTTTAACACATACACCATATATATTAGAACTTCCAAAATTTATTCTCATGAATTGAGAAAAACTGTTTGTATTTTTATTACCATGTAAATTACGGATCTTAAATCCGAGTTAGTCTTTGGAAATTTCTATTTGATAAATAATATTTCGTAGCACACATTTTGGTAAACTGTATGCTATAGAAATCAAGTTTCAAACATTTGTAGAAATAATGATCCACTGCTTTATTAATGAATGGACATTTGTAGAAATAATAATCCACATCAGGGAAATTTAAGTTAAGTTTTTATAATGTCCATTCATTATGTTGCAGTTGATCATTGTTTTTTTTTTTTTTGTGAATATTGTTAGTAACGATTTACTTTGATTCAGTTTCCATTGTTTTCATTGTGATATTCATTGCTGATCCAGATCTTTTATCATCATTAATTCGCTTTTTTAAAAAAAATTCTCAAATGCTCTTGGAGAATGATACGAGATCTTCACATGAGATTCACTCTTAAAAATTTAGATCCAAAGTTACTTCAATTTTCACATATTTTCCTCCACCCCAGTTAATTTTTTTAAATAGTATAACATTTTTCAACTAGACATTTGTATCACAATTCGGAAGAAACTGAAATTTATATTAGCTTTTTACTAATAGAGTTTGGTATTTATTACAATCAGTTATATTAAAACAGAAGCCATGATTCATTTCATGTATGAATTTTTAGTTTGTGACATCTTAAAAAAGTTTATAAAATTTTACATAACATCATTATAATATTTTTTCATATCTTTAATTTTATTTTAAACACAAATAAATATCTTTAAGAAAATTATAGCAAAATCTTTTAGAATCTTTTAAAGATATAATTTCGAAAATTATTTGATTATAATTTTAATTATCGTAAAATATAATAAAATTTTAAACTCATTTTTTATTTATAAAAAAAATAAAAATCATGTAAAATGATTTTAACACTATCCCAAATTTTGTTTTAAGTATGATGTAGGTCCAAATTAATTTAATTTTTACATTATTTCAAATTTAGAAATAAAAATATAAATTAGTAATGTTACCTAATAATGTTCTTAAATTTTTTTTACAAAATAGAAATTTTATATTAATAATATTATAAACCACATAAATATTATTATAAAATCAGATAGTATAAAGCATCAGATTATTTTCTGTATTGATAACTTTTATTATATAATTTAAAATATTGTCTATTCAAATATCTGCACAGTCGTGCGGGTTGAGATCTAGTGAATTTTATTTGACGAGTGAAACTTAGACTAATGAGACTTATTCTTGGGTTCACCCTAAGGGGTGAACCTCTAGGTTCACCAACCAATAGGATGTTATTATTTCATATTTGATATCTTTAAAAAAAATAGAAACAAAATTTTGTTAAGTTATATTATGTTTTTAAAATAAAAATAGAAAAATAAATAAAAATAATAATATTTACAAAAAAAACAAAAAAAATCGTTAAAAAATATTTTAACATTATATTATGCTTTTAAAATTAAAAGATAAAAAAACAGTAATAACTGAAAAAAAAAAAATTTCAAGAAAAAATCTTTTAATATATCTTTAAAATGAAAACTAAATATTGTTACATTATATTGTGTTTTAAAAATAAAAATATAAAAATAAATAAAAACAGTATAATTAGTTAGTATTAGTGTTTTTGATTTAATGTTTAAGATTTTTTCAAAGGGTATATGATTTACCCAAGTGTTTATGGTTTAGGATTAGAATTTAGGGTTTAGTGTTTTAGTGTTAAAATATTTTTTTTAGATTTTTTTCGTCTTTTGTAAATATTATTATTTTTTATTTATTTTTTGTATTTTTATATCAAAAACATAATATAACTTAGTAAGATTTTATTTCATTTTTAAAAGGATATCAAATATGAAATAACACCATCCTATTGGTTGGTGAACATAGAAGTTCACCCCCAAGAATAACTCGACTAATAATTAAGGGTTTATAAAGTTTTTTTTTAAGTTTTGTCTGATATTTTACAGATACTCATGCTTCTTTTGTATCAAGTTTTTAGGTTTTAGAAAGATATAATAAAAAAACGCATTGGTAAATTTTGATCTGTTCATTTTTAAGAAAAAAAAAACTCTTTTAGTTCTATTTAATTTAGATTAGATTTTTTAAAGAATTTAACTTTCTAATATTATAGCCATTCTAAATCTTTTTGTAATCAGTCTGTCGGACAATTTTTTCTGTTTGATTGAAATCATTTTTGATGTTTCTTGATTGGCCATTCCTTAAATACTCATTTAAAAATATCTCTAGTATACTCTTTAATAGTAGTATACAACAATAATAGTTGCATAATTAAAAAGAAGTGTAGATTCGCAAAATAGAGAAGAAAAATCAGAGAGTATTGAATTATATATAAAGACCACCGGGCGTGGAAGCGAAAGAGCAATTTTCTCATACCACAAGACCAAACCTCTCTTCTTCTTTTTTTTGTTTTGTTTTGTTAAACAAACCTCTCTTCTCTAATGTCAAAAGATTATGTGTAATTAACAAACATAAAATTATTAATCTCTTACTTGATCCCAGGAAGAATACAAAAACAATGTCTAAATTATCGTATAACAATCTCATCTTCTTGATCATCATCGTCTCCTCGTGTTTGGGTTTGAGATCATCAGCGTTTACGAATCTCAATACCTTTAGCTTCGAAGAATCTCTTTCTCCTCTATTTGGTGATGCCAATCTCGTACGTTCACCAGATGATCTCTCCGTTCGCCTCCTTCTCGATAAATATACTGGTATACACATACATATTGATGTTCTTTTTCCTATTTTGAAAAAGGATATAATGTTTTCACATGGGTCTATTTATTTTTTTATGATGGCAAAATAATGATTTTTTTTTTAATATATAGGTTCTGGTTTCATATCATCGAATATGTATCACCATGGGTTCTACAGCTCTATGATCAAGCTTCCGGCCGATTATACTGCTGGCGTTGTCGTCGCCTTTTATGTAAGTCTCCGACCATTAGTTTTTTTTTTTGTTTTCTTGTTTAATCAGCCTAAAAATGTTTTCTAACTAAATTGTTTTTCTTTTCTTTCTTTTATTGATCTGCATGATTTTTAATGTTTTACTTTCCGACCAAAGTGTTCATTTCCTTCGACGATCATAGCTATAACTCTTTTGATCTAATAAGAAATCTCATTTTCCGGCTAGAAAATAGTCAATAGTTTTTCCGATAAAATAGTTTACGTTTCCATTAGATCATTAGATGTAACTTTAGTTTAAGCTTTTTCAAAAAAAAAAAGAATAAGTTTAATCTAACAGGAATGAAATATTTGAAAAATCTTTGCAGACATCAAATGGAGACGTGTTCCAGAAAACACACGACGAGTTAGACATAGAGTTTTTAGGGAACATAAAAGGAAAACCATGGAGGTTTCAGACAAATCTGTACGGTAATGGAAGCACGCCTAGAGGTCGTGAAGAGAGATATCGTCTCTGGTTCGATCCTTCTAAAGAGTTTCATCGTTACAGCATCCTCTGGACTCCTCACAAGATCATGTAAGATTTTTCCAATCGATCATTTTTCACGGTTAAGCTTCAATAGCGTTGACCAAACCCGGTTTTGTAACTATATGACCAGCTTCATGAAAAAAAAAAGAATGTCTGTCTTTCTAAAAAAACCGTTTCTTTCTTCTTAAGATAGTTAATGAATCTACATTATTCTCTCTCTCTCTTTTTTTTTTTCTTTTTTCATTTCTGGGTTTTACTTTTTTCATTTTTATCTGATTTAAAATTACGAAAACGAAAGAGAATCAGCTTTTCTGAAACAACTAATTCGGTATTGCTGTAAAACATCAGCTTAACTTTATGATTTTTTTACACGTAACTAAGTCTCAGTCATCACGCGTAGGCGTATAATAATTAAAAGCCAAATTAGTTGTTCAAAAATATGACTTTCTATTGACCTTCTTGTTTTTTTTTTGGTGCAACAGACCTTGTTAAAGGATGTATGAAACGTTGAAATGGAATTAATTAACAAAACGAAAAACTTTAATGAAAAATACAAGCTAAATGGCATTTAATTGCTACTTTAGTAGTACTCGTTATATATCTATATTTTCATTGAATCGTTTTAGATTCACTAATGAAAGAAAATTGAAACAAAACTAAAAAACCTGTTTCCAGAGAAAATCCTAGGTAAATTTTGTCAGCTAAACTTTTATTTTAAATTTTTTCATCTAATTATTCAGTATAGTTTTGTTTTTGTTAATATTGTCATTAACAATTACTAATAAAGTTTAAATGTCTTCTGTTGGTAATTAAATAATTTAAATCATCAGATTTTGGGTCGATGATGTGCCAATAAGAGAAGTGATAAGAAGTGAAGCAATGGGAGCCGATTATCCAGCAAAGCCAATGGCTCTTTACGCCACCATCTGGGACGCCTCTGATTGGGCGACCTCAGGTGGCAAATATAAAGCTAATTACAAATTTGCTCCTTTCGTTGCTGAGTTCAAATCTTTCTCCCTTGATGGTTGCTCCGTCGACCCCATCCAAGAAGTTCCTGTTGATTGTTCTGACTCTGTCGAGTTCCTTGAATCGCAAGATTATTCTTCCATCAATTCACATCAACGTGCTGCTATGAGAAGATTCCGACAACGGTTTATGTATTATTCTTATTGTTACGATATTGTTAGGTATCCGGAGCCACCGCCAGAGTGTGTTATTATTCCGGCAGAGAAGGATAGGTTTAGGGACACAGGGAGGTTGAAATTTGGTGGTACGGAGGCACGTGAACGCCGGAGGAATCGTCGGCAACAAACACATGAGATTGAGAGTGATCCTGATGAAAGAAAGCTTTAATAAAAAAATCTATGTCGTTGTTTTTACTATTTAAAATTCATTTGTGAGTAAAGATAAAAAATAAAAGAGTGAAAATATGAGAAAAGGAAACAAAGAATATGGCAGAGTTAGATGCATAATGTAAATTATTAAAACATATCAAAAATGTAATATCTAAGACTAAATTTTTTTTTTCTTACAAATAAATTTGAAAATATATGAAAGTATCTTGTAATAAAAAAAAGAAATTTTTAACGACACTATTGAAGTTCACATGAAATTGTTAGGGTACAAAGTATACCTTTTACAAGCTCGGAAAAGAGACATTACTAGAATCACTTCAATTTCTCTGTTTTATCAGTTTTATGTCCTGCTTTACAGATACATTCTCAAATAATTACAAAGATAATCTATATAATAGCAAATTCACTTTTTGTTTTCCGCTGACATCATTATTTTTATAGAATAAATAAAAATTTAAAGGGTGATTGGTAACAGCTGTGGGAGCTGTACACAAATGTGGGATCTATACATAGCACCATTTAAATTCACAGCTTAAATCTAAAGCAATTAAGATTTATCAAAAAAGTTATGTTCGTAGCAATTTGTAAAATATATGTATCTCAAAGTGCTTTAGAAAACCAATTTTCTACAGCTCACTTTTTCGACCTTTCCAAAAAAAAAAAAAAAAATTCATTTATATTTTTATTCAAAAAATAAGATAAACACTAACCAAACCTAAGATAGACACTAAAAGCCCTAATTGTAAATAAATATATAAGAGAGCCAAAAAAATCCAGAGAAAATAAAGAATATGAAGAGGCAACAAAAAGGTATGTAACACATCCCTTTGTCTTCTTTTATATTATTGTATCTGGTCTTCTTCTAGTGTTGATGTACATGAAATTTGATTATGAACACTGGTTACATGGAAAAGAAAACCAATAATATGTTATGCTTAATATTACAAAGTTCATCTGCTTTTTTTGTATGTTTGTGTCCTACTAATTTGATTATGAATTAGTTTTTAAATTGTATATTAGATTGTTTCTTATAGTAATTAGAGTTTTATTAATCGAACGTGAACTATTTTTCCTCTCGTATTGATTTAACTACGCACTTACAGTGTTTAAGTTGTATATTTGATTGTTTTTTGTATTAGTTAGTGTTTAATTCCTCTCGTATTGAATTAATTAGACTTTTATCAATAATGAACTATTTTTTCTTCTAATTTTTACCTATGTTTTCTCCTCGTATTTTTGTATTCTTTTTAAATATGGTTATATACGATCTAATTTAATATATGTTTTAATTATATTTGTAGGATATGTCAAATAACAATGATAAAAAAATGGTGGTGTAAAATATGGTGCGTCAACCAACGCAAATGTGGCATCATATTCTCAAAGAGAGGTAAATATTTTACTTTTCTTAATTTAATTCAGAAAATATAAATTAGTTATTGATATGTATTTTTGTTATAGATTAATATTAAGTGGACAGATGAAATTTCTCGATCATTCATAGAGATGTTTTTACTTCAACTTGATAAATAAAATTGGGTAGATAAATGTTTAACAAAAGAAAGAAAATTAAGAGTGAGGAGGAATTTTAAAGAACTTACTGGATTTGATTTAGCATGGAAAAAAATTGCAAACCATCTTGTAACTTGAAAACATGGTACGATTGCTACAATCGACTATGCAAGTATACTGGAATGACTGTTGATCGTATCACATGAGTAATTAATATGGAAGACGAATAGTTGAACGATATCGGATACAAGGAAGCACATAAAACTTCTAATAGTGTTTTAATGTATTTAGCATAAAATAAGATACTAAGTAATTTATTTAAAAATTAGGAAAGCGAGGTGGCTAGAATATTTAAAAATAAATCTTTAGCAAATAAAGATCTATTGGAAAAAAATGTTTAGTGGAACTCACATAAGAGTTGAAGATGGAAGGTCAGTTGGAAATGTCCTGATGTATATCGTCCTCAACATGGATATGAGACTGGAATTTTTTTTTGACATGAACACATTATTTGTTAGTGATGATCCAGACGTATTATTTTCTACTTCGTTAGATGGACAAACTCAGAACTTGGAGTCCACACCAACCGATGGAGTCCACACCACCATTCATACACCTTCCATTGAAAGACCAAATCATGAGCAACGAAATAAACATAAACGTGGAGCAGCCAACATTGATAACCAGTCAGATTTATCAAAAGCTTTTCGTGAACGTTCTGATGCAATAAAACATGCAGCATCGGATATGTCATTGGTTTTAACTTCTAACATAACCTTCTTGATGACTGCATCAAATTGAAAAGATTGAATTTGGAACCTCGTTTTATTGGGATGAATTATTGTCTACAAATGAATGTGATAGAAGATGGTTTTTAGGAATTCCAGAAAACGAGTTTGCACTTCTTTAACTGGAGCAAGTGATTGGTCGTAAACATGATGGTTAATCATTATAATAAGATTTATTTTGTTAGGATTTTTTTTGGGGGAGTTGAAACAGTTGGTTATTTTTATTATTTATCTATTATTTAGTTTGTTTTATTTATTTTAATCTAAATAAAAATTATTATGAGTGTTAATTTACAAGTCGTTTATTATTTTGTTTTATTTTATATACAAATTGTCTAACTGTTTTGGAAAATGGTGGACGATACTGATGAAGATGATTCTCAATTAATAAATGAATATATAACAATGAATATTGTTAAGTAACCATTGTATGCACATCGTAACCGTGGTCGTCAATTTGTTGAGGAGTTGATTCACGGTCATCCATATCAATGTCATTTTCTTCTGAAAATGTGTCCTAAAGTATTTCTTGCGCTATGTGATACCATAGAAAATAAATAAAAGATGAGATAATCTCATAATGTGACAGTGAAAGAGATTGTGGCAATGTTTTTACACATTTGTGGTCATAATATTACTCAGCGAAATGCCATGAGAATGTTTGGGCATTTGTAAGAGACGATATCCAAAATATTCTTGAGGTTCTTGGTGCCATGGAGCAGATGGCACAAGATATGTGTAAAGCATATCATACGAGTCTCACTCAAGTTCATCCTAAGTTGCGATCTGACAAGCATTAATGGCCGTACTTCAGAGGATTTATTGGTACAATGGATGTCGTCGTATCCGAACGAGACCAACAACAATACTGTAACAGAAAAAGCGCTTGCTGCATGAATATTCTTGCAATTTGCGACATGGATATGTTATTTACATACATATATGTTGGTATGCCTGGGTCTGCACATGATGCAAAAGTACTTGATTTAGCTATGCAAGGTGATCCTAATTTTCTAAGTCCACCTGTAAGTAAGTATTACCTTGTGACTCAGAATATGCTTTACAGCGTGGGTATCTGAGACCCTATAGGCAAACTCAGTACCATCAAAATTAGTTTCAAAATCAAGCTCCACTTAGTTATCATAAAGAAAAAATTAACCGTCATCATTCCTCACTTCAATGTGTCACTGAAAGAACATTTGGAGTTTGGAAAGGGAAATGGAGAATAATACAAGATAGAGCAAGGTACAACATTGGAACAACAAGAAAGCTTGTGGCAGCAAGTATGGCGTTACATAACTTTTTACATAAATCAAGCATACATGATCCTGACTTTGATGTTGATTGGAGGGAGGATAATGATCAACAACCTCCAATGAGTAATGACGATGAAACAGTTATAGAAGAAGGAGCTGGTTCGAGGCAATATATGGAAGGATTACGAGCTGGTTCGAGGCAATATATGGAAGATTGCGAGATAACATTGCAATGGATTTATGGAATACTCGTGGGTAGACTAACTATTGATTTATCATTATAGTAAAAGTTATTTTATTTTTACTTTTTTTAAATGATTTTTTTAGGGTTATTATTTTTATTTATTCAGCAAAAGTTATTATTATTATAAGTTTATTTTGTTTCGAGGCAATAGCTGGTTTGAGGCAGTATATGGAAGGATTACGAGATAACATTGCAATGGATTTATGGAATACTCGTGGGTAGACTAACTATTGATTTATTATTATAGTAAAAGTACTTTATATTTTACTTTTTAAATGATTTTTTAGGATTGTTAATTTTTATTTATTCAGTAAAAAAATATTATTATTATAAGTTTATATTGTTTTTTTTAATATATTGTTTAACATATATATATATATATATAATACTAATCTAGTGCTAATGTATACCAATCATGCTTTTAAAAGAAGACCTGTATCTAAAATCTTACAAGCCAAAGTTTTACAGCAATAAAATCTATAGTTACAACAAAAAATCTAACATACTTATTCTACAGCAAAAAAAGTTTTAAACTACAGCTGTTACTAATCAGAATTAATCTAACAGTGGAGATTGTTCCTAGTCTCTAATATAAGAGTTAAGATTTTATTCAGTATAACATCATTTTACTTAAACAAAAGAGGTGTTCATTTACTGAAGAGTAGTATCTTTTTCACAAACTAAAAATTGACCATTTCATTAAATCTTTTGGTAATTGAGAAGTTGTATATTTTCAGAAGTCTAACCATTGAACCCTTTCATAATAGAAACATTTAACAATTAATTCATTTAAGCAAATTACATGCTCATTATTTGAAGAGTTGCATCGTTTAAAAGCTAACCCTATTATAATAAAAAAGTTGTATCTTCTCAAAAGATTTACCTTTGGACCTTCTCATAATAGGTTAGAAAATTTATATATGGTCTCTTCATCCCTCCCTTCACCATTGTTTTTTTTTTAATTTGCTGTTTATGTGAAGTTACTTACAATCAAAAACATATCATTTTTTTCTAAATTCATTATTGTTGTCTTGTTATCTTAACCCATCCAGATTTTCATAGTACTTTTGTATACTGGATCCTGATTCAAAACCAATGCAAAAATGTTTACATTTAACCGCTGATGTCAATATTTTTTACAGAAAATAAATCTGACAGTGGAATTTGTTCCTAATCTCTAATCTAATGGCTATGATTT